GTATTATGGCATCCGATTATAAAGAGGTGAAGTTAGTAATAATATAATTGAAATAACTGATATTTACGTATAATTACAGGAAACAGCTTTAGTTACAGGTCAAGCATATTTTGTAGGATCAGCAGTACATTATTTTGAAAACAGACAAGAATGGAATCACTACAACGTTTATGTTACAATTGCAGGATTTTTTTCTGTTACTGCGATTTATTTGTTTACGCATAATACTAATCTGTTTATGACAGAATATTATTCAATGAAACTGAAAATAGCTTTTTGCACTCTTGTTTATAGAAAGGTATGTATAAAAGATAATGTATTTTGAGTAAAATATTATTTTTATATTATTCATATATAGTGTATTGTAATTAAATATATTTGAGAAATTTTAAAAAATACTCTAGAAAAAACATTTTTCTAACAATAGTAGATTTTGAATTTTGTCTTTCAAATTAATTTGATGGAAGTTATGATAAAATGAATTATTACTCAATATACTCAAGAATTTTGAAAAACTATCGTTTCCTGCTAAAGATTCTATTAAAAATTTGTCTTCTTGTACATTCTCCAGTAATACTTCGTTTTCCCTTACTTTTGTGGACGATACCTTGCTAAAAGTAACTGACAATTCAAACGTGTGAATCTATTGCATTTCTTCAGAATTAACAGTAAATAATATGAACCAGAATGTTACACTTCATGTGTTTCTATATTAAATTCATAAATATAATTATTCCAGTTGTTTCTGCTACTGTCATTGGTTAAAATATACACGATAGGGCAGAGAAACGAGAAGTTTCAAAGTCGATTTTTCTATGTAATGATTGAATAGGAAAAACTTCCTGATAGATATGTTGGCTAGAAGAAGTAGTTATTTTGAACCATCGAATAGATGCGCAATGTGCGTTTACCATTCAGGCTTTTCGTGAATATAATAATTGTATAATGGCCGCAGAATAGTTATTTCGCCGTCATTTTAAAACCCATTAAAATAATCATGTCTTTATGACATGAATTGAGAACTTTCAGGAAAGTTGTTCTGTATCATAAAAAGTAGGGCGCTGTCCGATTATCGTGGCTGTTGGCGTTAATACTTTGCTCTCTTGTGATTTGACCCATTACTGTTACTTTTCTGAATAATAATTAAATACTCATCTGAGAAAACAAAAACTTTTTGCCACTATTCCAGGATGGATCACAATAAAACGTAAAGAAAAACGAATTGAAAGAGAGGAAAATGTTAGAGGTGAGTCGATAGAGTAAATGGTCTTGTCTTAAATAGGCGCCGAAAATGGGATTAACGTTCAAGAAAGAATTAAACTTTTGTTAAAACTACAACACTTTTCAAATAGTAAACTACAGGTAGTATTAGAGAGATCAGATAGAACAAAACTATTGAAAATATTTTGTATTGTATTGCCTGTGTTGAAAACATAGACATTGTTACGGTAGATCTTGAATTTATACTCCTTGCCCTCGAAATTGATAAAGCAACAGATATCGTTAGGAATAACAAATCAAATGCAGAAATAAATGCATTATGTAAAAATTTTGCCTACGTCAAAAGTTTTTGAAACTGGAAGATAAAGACAAAGAAATAACTTTGTAATTTCGGGTTTAGAGAATGACGAAAAAATGGATAATTGTCTATGCAAGGTTCGAAAATTATTTAGTGATAGTTTACGGATGTGAATATCAAGCGAACTTATCGAATTAAAAATTTCAAACCTAATTCAAAAAGACTGGTTATTTATAAAGTGTTTAACTTTGAAAATAAATAAAAATATTTAAATATATTAATATAGTAAAAAATTATAACATATTTGTTAATGATGATTACTCGCCAAATACTAAAATTATCAGAAAAAATCTAAGACTTTATGGCAAAATATGCGCTTAAAAAGAGCTACTAATTTAAAACTGCAATATAACAAATTGATTTTGTATGATAAGACGATTGCCTGTAATTTTAAAGATGAGATTTTTTAAAAAGAAAACAATCAACATTTTTTTAGAAATATAGTTTGTAACGATAAAAAATTAATTAAAGAAAATTATAAGGAAAATAATGTTTTATACTCGGACAATGGCAATAATGCAAAACTTTTTTTTTATAACATAGTAAATTTTGATAATAAATATTACTTTTCTAATTTTTGGAATATAATATATCTACTGTTTAGTAGAAACATAGCATACTTTACCGGTAATAATTGATGTTCTCTGATAAATATAAAATTTTCCATCAATTAGCACATAGTTGTGAAGGAACTGCAAGACCTAGGGGTGGCTTTAATGTCGGTTTTAACTGGACACGGTTTTTAACGTTGAAATTATATTTCAATTACTATTTTTTTTTTGTTTTTACAATTGGACATTGAGAAGTCAATCAATATTTAAGAAATAGTGTTATATATTTCGCCTGACAACTATTTCGATGAAGATATTAAGAACATGTTATCGCTTATAGAAAACTATCTGCTACCTGAAATGAACTTGATTTTATGCGCTAATTTTAACGCTCGAATGGGACTTTTACTGGCAACTGGAAAACTTTTTCGAGAGCCTCAAAAGATATAATTGTTAATGACAGAAAGAAAATTCTATATAAATTTTGTGAAAATAAGTCTCGCGTGTTTAAATGGCTTGTCGCCAGGAGACAAAAAATAATAATAATTTTACCTATCACTCATCAAAAGGAGGCAGTATAATTGATTTTGTGATACTATTACAAAATATATATTTTAGTGTTGTAATTAATTTAAATGTTTTAACAAAGATTAGCTCAGAATATTTACCAGTTTTATTAAAACCTATCTGATTGGTATCATTTCGCATTTTTAACAGACAACTTTTAAGTAAACGTGCAATGTACAGTACACATATGAAGTTAAATCTTAATTATCTCTTAAATTAGGTAATGTTCTGTCAAATGAGTATGGAAGAATTCTTACACCTGATGATCTAGGTAGAGCTTAAGCAGCGATGTCTTCTTTGGACTTAATTTACGACGTTAATCCTGTACCAGGTAAAACTCATGCAACAAATAAATGTATAATAATGAGTGTCACATCTTGGGGAAAGATTTGTGGAAGTTCTTTAAAAAGGTTATAACGTCATATACAAATGAATATTATGGTTTCTATAATATTATTTTGAAAGACTACAGACGTTTATGTCAAAAAAAATAATTTTATTTTTGAAACTTAAATAGAATACTGGTGACATGTAACAACTCTAAAACATTTTGGCAAACAATCAACTAGTTTAGAGGTAGAAGAATATATTTCAAAAATTACTTTGGAAAGATGGCTAAACTTTTATGCTGTTAAATTCTCTAAAGGTCATTTTGTCTCGAATAATGGTCAATTGTCAACGGATAGTTATAAAGTGCTTACAATAAGACAGGAATGTTTTTCGGACTATACATTGGAAGAAATAATAAGAGCAATTAATCAATTAAGCAATATTCAATAGTTATTATCAATTAATAGGTTTTATGATATATACGCCTGAATATATTTAAATACTAGTTTAATTACGTATATTAATTTTAAATAGTTTACGATTTTTGTAAAATATTTAAAACTATATTGAGAACTATTACACACCCTGCTTTAACAATCACATGCAGATTAGAAGTGTCATCTTGTGACCCCATCTCATCTATATTTATATTAAAGACAAATATTAATTTTGGAATTTGAATTTTATTCTACTTTTATTCACTACGGTTTGTGAATACTATGGAGTATATTTGACAAAAATTCAGTAATTGTAGTGGTTCCTATAAAAAATATCTGATGCTGCGCGATGAATTGTTGCTCTTGTGGAAGTATTATATTACTTTTATTTGAGGAATTGCAGTCCTCACTATAGAAGTAGATATAAAGTGTATGCAATGTATTTATTAAATGTATTTAATAATGTATTTATAAAGTGAAAAGACAAAAGTATTTAATTATTATAATTGAAAAAAAGCAAGTGTTGATAAACTTGACAAATGTATAAGAACATACAGTTGTAGGCATGGTACAAAATGGCCAATGGCTGTTTTTTTATTTTTTTTTAAATTTGATTGATCTAGTCGATTATAATTCGTATGTGGTTTATTATGAGGCAAATAAAATGTAGGCGAAAAAATATTCAAAACGTAAATAGGGTCAAAAGGTTTTTGAAGAGTCTAGGCAAATTATTATGCCAGGTCAACACGATATACAGATCTGAACATTTCCAAGGTTTACATAGCAATTCAGTATTAGAACAAAAAGTACTTGACTTTGAATGCAATCAAGTGAGAGCAATTTCAACAGGGACAGTTCAAACGAAATCAAAGGGAATAGCAACAACAAATGATATTAAAAGAATTTCTAAAAAAGGAGATGCTTTCTATGTTGAAGATTAAAAGAAAAAATACATAAAATGTTGTAAAAAGTGACTGAAATACATGTGCCTTAGACATACAACGAATGATGAACAAATTTCTTAGAAAAAGTACTGCGTGCAATTAATTTAATTTTATAACCATTATTTTTAACAATAAAAATTGTTTTGAGTGCTAAAAGTTGAGTTATTTTAAAAATCCAAATTTATAGAAACAAATATCTCAATAAAAAATATATCAACTTCTAAATTTAATCCATTATATAATACATTCTTGCGTAATAAAATTAATTTTGTCAAGTTGCGTGAGTAAACAAGTATTAGAAAATGTAATTTATTAGTTACTTTACAGAATTTACTGATAATTATACTCGTATTTTTAAATGATATTTAATATCTTATATACTTTTCGAAAAATATTTATTTTACATTAAATTTTCATATGCAGGCAATTAGGTTAAGTTCTTCTTCTCTGGAAAAATCAAATGTGGGACAAATGGTAAATCTTCTAGCTAATGACGTCGGCAAATTCCAGAACGTAAGTTTAAAATAATTTTCTAAACAATAATACATTTAATGTACACTTGTCGACCTGTATATTTTGTGTACGTATTATAATGGCCGAATTAGTAAACAACTTTAGAATAACAAATAAAGGTAATTCTGACAAGAGGAAAGTGCAATGAGCTTGGTTTCAGTCAGATCTCTTTTAAAATAACACTGATCATTTCAGATTAAAATTTAATAGAAACAGTTTGTAAGAATTGTCTTCTGAGTAAACGACAAATCAATTTGATGAAAATCATCCTTTAATGCTCTTTACATATATAATTGTTTAATATAATAGGTTTGGGCCATACTAATAACAAAATTAATTTTTCGAGTAAATTACTATTGAATAAATTAAAATTACAAAAATTTTTTTAAATTAAATTAAGATTGCAAATAAAAATTCGTCGAATAGAATTATTTCACATCACAAAATTAATTTTCTAATTACAAATTTAAATCAAATTAATTTTATTTTAACAATAAGCCAGAGTTTCTGTATTAATTATTAAATTTTATAATATCCGAGAAAATTAAGACATGACAATTGTATGAAATAATATAACACCAAAACGAAATTATTTTTTAAATTTTCTTTATTTTTACATTAATATATTAAATAAGTTTATTTTATTTAAGATTTTCCAGTTTTTTCGTTCACTTTATTTAAAACATGACATATTCCTGTTCTAATTTCTGATATCTAATAAATTAAGATTACAAATAATTTGTCGAGTAATAGTTTTATTATCAATACTAGAATTAATTATTTTCTTGATAGATATTTGTCTTGATATTCCGGTACATGACAATTTGAAATAATATAACAATGAAATTATTTTGAAAAGATTTTCATTTTTACATTACAGTTTATTTGAGTGTTTCGACTTTTTCCTTCAGTTTACCTAAAGCAAGACATTTCTGCACGTATTAATTTTTAAATTAATTTTTCAGTAAATAAATTATTTTCAGATCAGAAATTTTTCGAGTAAATTAAGATTATAAATAATTTTAATATTTAGGAAACTGTTCAATTTATTTCTTACGAAAAAGTTTTCATATTTAGAAAACTTCTCAGTTCAATTCATTGCTTCATTTAAAATTAATTTGCAATAATAATTCTTACAGTTTGTACTAATATCCGATTTGGTTGAAAATTATTAATATATATTTGCACTTTTTTTGTTTTATTATCCGAATAAATTAAAACACGACACTTTCAAATAATATTACAGCAATAAGGCAAAGTAAAATAGGGAAAGAGTTTAATATAATAATTATTTAAATTATATTTGTTACTTATTTATTAAATACCTACCTATACAATGCATTGATTTTGAAAATACAGTAGAACCTCCATTATCCGGACCTCCATTATCCGGATTTTCGATTATCCGGATTGTTCAAAATAAACAAAAATTTTACGAATTTGCTGATTTGCACTTGGCGAATTACGACACTGTTTATGTACGTGATGGAATGCATAACTTTTTT